CTTCCTGACAGTTAGAACAATTAACCAATGGAACAACCTGCCTCCAGAAGTGGTGAATGCTCCAACACTGGAAGTTTTTAAGAAGAGACTGGACAGCCGTTTGTCTGAAATGGTGTAGGGTTCCTGCCTGGGCAGGGGGTTGGACTCGATGACCTCCAAGGTCCCTTCCAACTTTATTATTATTATTATTATTATCTTTGTTCTTCTCTGCACTCTTCTACAGTTTCAAGATCTTTTTTTATATCGTGATGACCAAAATTGGATGCAATATTCCAAATATAGTCATTATCAAGACATTATTAACCAGTACTAACCCATCATGTGACCTTGCTTCTCTCCCTCTGTTAATGCAGCCTAGCACTGTGTCGGCTTTTTTGGCAGCTGCAGCACACGGCTGGCTCCTATTTAAGGGATTGTCCATTAGGCTGGCTCAGGAATTCTGGGAGTTGAAGTCCACAAGTCATAAAAGAGCCAAGGTTCCCCACCCCTGGTATAGGGTCTGCTACTGAAGCAGGGGTTGGACTAGAAGACCTCCAAGGTCCCTTCTAACTCTGTTTTTCTGTTAAACCGAAGCTGGCTTTCAGCTTGACAGGATGGCACTCTTTCCCTATTCACCCCCCACACACACACCCAAAAAAGTTTAAAATAAATAAATAAACAAATATCAAATTTGGCCCATACCACAAGACGCAATCTTGATATTGATAGGCCTGGAGTTGTTCTTCCCCTCCCCAACACTTCCCCCCCCAAAAAAGTAAAAATGCTTTTAAGCAGCATTCTTTTCTTTTCTTTTCCTTTTCAACCTTAATTATATCCAAGAAGGTGACTTTGATCTTGGATATAAACTTGCTTTTCCAAAACAGAACGGCTTTTGCCTCCATCCCGGAAACTTAAGTGTTCCATCAAAAGGACCGTAGGTCTTAGATTTCATTTTCCCCGGGACCCCAGTGCAGGGCTGATAGGCTGAAGATAAAAATACAATTTTTCAGAGAGTCAAAAGTACACCCTTCGCGGAATATCTCGCTTCCCCATATGTGTTATCTGTCGCAAGCCTGCTTGCATCAGAAGCCCAGAACTTTAGCTGCGGCGGTATTTTTGGCAGACAAGAAAGAACTTAGCTGACGCCCTTGGAAAGATGATTTTTAATAGATGAATCGAGATTAATTGCCAAAAATAAGATAAAACTATCTGGCTCCGGGTTACAACAAAATAGTTCCAACTGGTTAATCGAGAACCAAGAACACTTCATGATTAATAATAATAATAATAATAATAATAATAATAATAATAATAATAATAATAATAAAGTTGGAAGGGACCTTGGAGGTCATCTAGTCCAACCCCCTGCTCAGACAAATGGTTAATAACAACAACAACAACAACAACAACAACAACAACAACAATAATAATAATAATAATAATAATAATAATAATAATAATAATAATAATAATAATAATAAAAAGTTGAAAGGGACCTTGGAAGTCATCTAGTCCAACCCCCTGCTCAGGCAGGAAACCCTAGACCATTTCGGACAAATAGCTGTCCAGTCTCTTCTTTAAAACCTCCAGTGTTGGAGCATTCACAACTTCTGGAGGCAGGTTATTCCACTGGTTAATTAGAATAGAATAGAATAGAATAGAATAGAATAGAATAGAACTGGAAGGGACCTTGGAGGTCATCTAGTCCAACCCCCTGCTCAGGCAGGAAACCCTATACCATTTCAGACTGATGGCTGTCCAGTCTCTTCTTAAAAACTTCCAGTGTTGGAGCATTCACAGCTTCTGGAGGCAGGTTGTTCCACTGGTTAATTAGAGTAGAGTAGAGTAGAGTAGACTAGAATAGACTAGAATAGAATAGAATAGAATAGAATCTGGAAGGGACCTTGGAGGTCATCTAGTCCAACCCACTGCTCAGGCAGGAAACCCTATACCCTTTCAGACAAATGACTGTCCGGTCTCTTTTTAAAAACTCCCAGTGTTTAAGAAAATAGCTCCAACTGGTTAATTAAGAACCAAGAAAACCTCATGATGGCTACTTCTGTGAATCTCCTGACGTTTTTAAAGTTGAGGTACAACAGACCATTTAGGGACCATTCAAAGTTATGACTGCACTGGAAAACGTGATTTAGGACCGTTTTTCACACAACCATTGCAGCATCCATTGCAGGGTCACGTAATCAGAATTTGGATGCGTGGCAATGGACTAATTCTAACCGCACACTTAAATTGATCACCATAGTTTACCATAGTAGTATCTTGTGCGTATGGCATCACCATGAATGCTCACCACTCTTTTAATCTGCTTTTGACTCTCTGGAAAAAAATTGTGTTCTTCTCTCCCTCTAAATTTTAGGAAGTTGGAGAGCCTTTTAATATGAAGCCCAGGGGTCTTCAAACTTGGCCCTTTCATGACTCGTGGACTTCAACTCCCAGAATTCCCCAGCCAGCGTGCCTGGCTGAGGAATTCTGGGAGTTGAAGTCCACCAGTCATAAAAGGGCT